TGGTGGCCATACCCTGGACTGGGAGAGGAACAGGACTCTGGGCCTCTAGCTGCCGAGCTGGTGGGTGGGGCTCTAGGCCATGACCCGCACCCTCTGACCCCTGATACTGACCTCTGTCCTCTGCCCCGCCCCCTCTATGCCGGAAGGAGAGGCTCAAGCCCCGCCAGGCGGGGGGCCGCCCCCGGATGCGCTGGCGGAGCAGGTAGAGCTGTGGTGGTCCCAGCAGCCCCGGCGCTCGGCGCTCTGCTTCGCCGTGGCCGTGGCGCTCGTGGCGGGCTGCGGGGCAGGTGGCGTGGCGCTGCTGTCCTCCACCAGCAGCCGCTCGGGCGAGTGGCGACTGGCGACGGGCACCGTGCTGTGCCTGCTGGCCCTGCTGGTCCTGGTCAAGCAGCTGATGAGCTCCGCCGTGCAGGACATGAACTGCCTCCGCCAGCCCCACCACGTGGCCCTGCTGCGGAGCGGCGGCGGGGTGGACGCCCTGGTCGTGCTGCTCAGCGGCCTGGTGGTGCTGGTCACAGGCCTGACTCTGGCCGGGCTGGCCGCCGCCCCGGCCCCGGCCCGGCCCCTGGCCGCCATGCTGTCTGTGGGCATCGGCCTGGCCGCCTCGGGTGCGCTCTTGCTGCTGGGCTTGCTGCTCTATCAGGTGGGCGTCAGTGGACACTGTCCGCCTCTCCGTGCGGCCGCCCCCTCCACCCACGCCCACCACGGTGGCGACGGCAGCATCTTCAGCATCTCGGGACGGTTTTCTGCCGGGCGGCGTCATGAGACCACGTCCAGCATCGCCAGCCTCATCTGACCGAGCCCGAGTTCCCCTGCCCGCGACCTGCCTCAGCGTCCACGGCGCCGTGCCAGGGTGGGAGTGGGTGTGAGTGTGTGCTTGCACGCGCACGTGAGTGCGTAGGTGTCCCCAGGACCGTCCGGCCCTCCGTGGGATTGCGTGACGCGTGTACCCACACATCCATGCCACAGGAAGGTGGAACTGGGGGCTTGTGGCCGTGGAACTGTCAGAGTCTACCCGTCTCGACCTGGGGCCCCTGAAGATTCTTGGCCCCTGTTCCCAGCCCCCCTCAAATCCAACCCTGCCTTGGAACACCTATCAGAGATTTCTGGGAGCGACTGCCCTACCCCAGAGACCATACCAGCGACTTCACTGAGGAGAGTACCCGGTGACAAAGTGCAAAGAACGCGGGCTCCACAATGTGACAGGACTGGACTGGAATCCCCCACCCGCTGGGGGGCCTTGGGCAAGTGACTTAACCTCTCTGAGCCTCAGTTTCCAGAGAGTCACGGTCGTGGTCGTGGTAATCGATTCTGAGGACCACATCGTATATGGAAGGACTGGGCACGTGGCAGGTGTGCAATAAAACTGGTGGCCGTTGTCACTGTCGCTGTCGGTACCTCACCATCTCCCCTCCCCCTCGGCTTTCCCCTCCCCGACAACTACCGCTTCTACGGTGCACACTGCCTACCTCAAGCTGACAAAAGGTACCCTGACGTGTCTCCTATCAGGCCTGTGATTTCTCCTCACAGGTATGAGGAAGCTGGAGGGGAGAGGGGGTGAGGGAACGGGGGTGGGGAGGAGCGTGGCCTGAGTCCTTCACATTTGCTCCTGTGCTGGTTCAAGATGAAGTCTTAAGTGCCGGGGTTTTATCAGCTAGTTTCTCTGGAGGTTGCCACTCCCTACCCCACCTCTGGAATCGGATCGTCCTGGCCTATGTAGTAGCTGCACCTGCTGGTCTTCCTCCAGGCCCTCCCACCCCTCCCGCCCCCACCCCGGGTATGGGAGGGTTGTTTGAAATGCCCCTGGGGGGTAAGAGTCACTGCCAGCTTGGGGTCAGCCCCAGGATCTCCCATCTACGGTGCAGAACGGCCTATGTGGCACCCAGCACCTTCCACCAGGACAGGAGCTACGGTTAGTTTCATCACTCCCTGCTTCTCGAGGTCAGATGCCATGCAGCCCCGCCAGGGCACCAAGATGGGCTGGGAAACCAGACAGGCCTCCAGGGGGCCCCAAGTGTGGAGATACAGGTTCTCCAACAGGAGGAAATTGCTTTCAGGAGTCAAGACCTAGGGGGCCTCCTGGAGAAAATGCCTCTGAGCAGATGGATGAGGGAAGGGTGTTGCCAGCCAAGGAGGGAGCAAGGTGAGTGGGAAGAAGAGGGCACGTCCAGGAGGACGGTGGAACCTCTCCCAGGACCTCTGGCATCTCAGACCCCACGTATTCAACATCGGATCCCCCTCCTCATCCTGAACCAGCTCCTTGTCCCACCCAGAGGGGGTGGGGGGGGGGCACCCTTCACCCAGCACCTGGGTTAGAAAGCTAGGTTGTGGTTCCAGACGGCACCCTGCCTCCCTCCTTATCCTGTGTCCAGTGAACATCACCTGCGGACTTCCCCACAGATGTGTGTGCGGTGCTCAACCCTCCACACTCACCCCCCAGCGCCCTCTCCATCTCTGCCTCATTTGTGCAGCCTCCCGCCTGGGGTCCCTACTTTTGCTTTTTTTTTTTTTTTTTTTTTTTTTTTTAATGTTGGTTATTCCTGAGAGAGAGTGTGAGCAGAGAGAGAGGGAGACAAGAGGATCCAAAGATCTGTGCTGCCAGCAGAGAGCCTGATGCAGGGCTTGAACTCACAAACCATGAGATCATGACCTGAGCTGAAGTCAGACGTTTAACTGACTGAGCCACCCAGGCGCCCCTCTTTTCTTCTTCAGTTCACCTCTCTCCCAAGCCCAACACATACACCTGAGCCACAGTGACTGTTAGGGAGGTATTGGCGGGCAGAGGGGTGGGGTGGGAGGACATGACCACCTGTTCACCCATGAGCCGGACCCAGGTGATGGGAGGCTCCTCACCCCTTCCCCTGCCCTTGGAATGTGTGTCCCACTTGCCTTTCTGGCTCCGAGAAGCTGCCCCAAGGATAGAGCCTTGAGACAATGATACAGCATTGAGACTATCTGGACTGTACATGAGATGGAACCCAGTTAAGGCCTCTATAGAAACTTTTAAGATATGAGAGGCAGATGCAGCGGTCTACTCGACTTGTGGCCACTCAAGACAAGCCTCTAAGGGAGTTTCCTTGCCTGTTACACCTGCCAGTCACAACTCTGGAGTGGCCTGTCTCTGTCTTCGGCCTCTGTCTGACCTCCATGTACCGGGGCCAGCTTCAGATTACACCCGGGAAGCTCCAAGTTGCAACCCAGCACTGTCCTAAAACAAAAGTCCTTCCCCGTGCCCCCACCACACCCAGGCTACTGTGCAGGATCCCCGACATGATTCGGCCTCCCTCACACCTCCAAGCACCCCACGAGCCAGCCTCACGGAACTGTTGTGACCTCCGCATAATCTCATAATTCTCCCAGCCTTTGTGTGCTCTCTCCTCCTTTCCTCCATACCCTTCAAGACCCGGTTCTTCAGGCCTCTTCCCGACCCTCTCCTCCTAAACTGATGAGTTGTCTGTTTTCTGTGCCTGTCCTTGCGATTGTAGACACCAGTCTGCAATTCTTTCTCTGTGTGCCTGTCTCCTTAATCAGGTGGTTGGCTCCTCTTGGGGGATTTGGGTCTTGCCCATCTGCGCGCCCCTTGTTCCCAAGGTGGGCCTGACACATAGCAAGTGCTTTGCTGCATGGATGAAGGACTCAGCTTGGTTGGAAGGCAATGTGTATGCAAGGATCAGGGAAAGACCCACCTAGAATAGGAATGGGTAGGAAACTTAGGCCACTGTCCCCACTGTTGGCCCTGAATCTTTCTGCCTCCCCACAAATTCTCACCCTTCCAGGGTTCCCAAGAGGAATCTATCATTATCACCAGCTACAGGGCCACCAGAGAACCCCACACTGCCTCTCCATCCTATGATATGGGGTGAAATGCGATTTCTTTTCAGCTAAGACAGGGTTACTCTTTCAACATATTTGCTTTAGAAAACTAAAGGAAGGAGCACCTGGCTGGCTCAGTTGGTGGAGCATGCAACTCTTGATCTCGGGGTTGTGAGTTTGAGCCCCATGCTGGGCATAGAGATTACTTAAAAAAAAAAAAAATAAAATAAAATAAATAGAGCGCTTTAAAAAAAACCTTGAAGAACAAAAAACAAAACACCTAAAGGAAAAACAGAAACACAGACGCCTAGAGAAGGGGGAAGGGACGGGTTACATCACACGAATGTCTAGATCAGCAGCTACTGCAGGCAGGGCCTTTGTTGAGCTTTCCTGGGAAAGATGCCAGATGAAGAATATGGCCCGTGGCCCCAGAGGGCTGTTCCAAAGGGCAGTGGAAGTCAGCACCCACACACCCGGCTATAACATGGGTCTGGGTGAGAGCGAGGTCCAGGCACAGGCAGGGCAGAAATGCTACTACTTCCGGGATCTCTAAAGCAGACTTCCCACAACCTCCAACCTCCAGCTTGTTTGCTCAAAGCATCTCACTGAATCCTCTCTTGGTCTACGTTGCAACTAGCCATCTACTGGCCCCTCTGCTCTCTCTCTCTCTAAAGCTGTCCCCTCCTGTCTTCATCTCCCTTCCGGTTAAAATCCCATCGCCCAACGTTTCACCCACTCCTTCACAGAGTCCCCAACCCCTTAGCGCCCCGCTCCTTTGAAGTTCACCCAGCTGCTTTTGCCACACCTACTGCCTCCCAGTGACCAGGTATTAGGCCAGGCCGCCTGGTGTCACCACGAATTCCTCATCACCCATCTCGACTGGTCTGCAATTCTGCTCATCAGTTACGCTGCATTTCCCCGGTCAGCTCCTACTTTCACAGCGGGCCCCCCAAGTTCTCTCCACTCCCCTCACACCTCAGCATCACCCCCTGCAGATGGTGTGACCTCCCCTGTCAGGAGAAAACAAGAGGGTCATGTGGTGGGAGGCCTTCACCTTGCTCCCCCCAAATCGCTCCTCCTTCACTCCTATCTGTGGAATGGCCTCGTCAGCCCAGCTGAGGAATTTGGACTTTGTCCTCAGGACAATGAGAAACATGGAAAGCTTTTAATTAGGGAAGTACTTTGGCCAGAATAGGATTTGGGGCCAGCTGGCTGCAGCGTAGAGCCAGGAATGGGCCTTAGGAGAAAAAGAATCAGAAGAAATGTCCAATCAGGCCCAGAAGTGCCATTGCTGCTGGCCCCTGAGGGATGAAAAGCAGCTGGCCAAGCTAGAGAGGTTGAGAAGAAAGAGTGCCAGAAAGAAGAAAGAGCAGAAGAAGGGTCCAGAGAGGAGAGAACTTGGCTCCTGCAAGGAAACACAAAGGGTTTGTGTGGCTAGAACTGGAGCATTCACTGGCAGGAGGCAGGAGGTGCAGCCAGGGAGGAGCCCTGGGCCGCTCTTTCAGAGGCTCTGTACAGGTGGCACCATTTAAGGTCAAGAGGAAGCCAGGGAAGGATTTGAAGCAGAGGTCAAATTGGGTTTTAGGACAGTCATTCCCCCTGCAGCACAGAGAATTAACTGGAAGAGGTAAAAACAGAGGCAGGGGAATCAGTTGGTTGATGAATGCCATCGGCAGACGGGGCCAAAAGGATGGCTGTTGGGACAGAGTGAAACACAACAGATTCGATGGACGTTCAGAGGGTGGGACCAACATGTCTTCGTGACTCAGGAGCTTTTTTCAACGTTTATTTATTTTTGGGACAGAGAGAGACAGAGCATGAACGGGGGAGGGGCAGAGAGAGAGGGAGACACAGAATCGGAAACAGGCTCCAGGCTCTGAGCCATCAGCCCAGAGCCTGACGCGGGGCTCGAACTCCCGGACCGCGAGATCGTGACCCGGCTGAAGTCGGACGCTTAACCGACTGCGCCACCCAGGCGCCCCC